CCTCAGCCAGCATGGAACCCTGAGTAAAGTGACTTTGTCTCAGCCAAAGGACTGTCATCAGCAGGGGTGCTTTTCTCCAGATCTAGGTCTAAGCTTTCCATAAGGTTTCCTCCTTTGCGGTTTTCTCAGCAGGGCCTGGAAGGAGGGAGATCTGAGGCCTGGAAGGGGTGGGCACAGGGGTTTACTTGGAGGGACAGGGGTCTCGTGCAGGGAGCTGAGCTGTTCCTGAACATTCCCTCGCAGCCCCCTAGAGACCGTGTGGCCCTATCCCTCATCCTCATACTTGGAGGCCTGTCCACCCCCCCTTCCAGCCTCCTGCCCCCGTGTCTCACCTCACACAGGGACCGGAGGAACAGATCATAAAGACAACAAGTCTCAGCCAGCTCAGCTCGGGGAGGGGATCTCGGCTGAGTCCCCACTGAGAGCATCCTGGGATATAGGGTCTCTAAGCCACCTCCTTCTTGGGATTGATTCCTGAGCTGCCAGAACCCAGCAGAAGGTGAGTTTCCCGCTACCGGTTCCTCTTTCCTTCTTGATGAGGAGTCTAAGTCCCATAGTAGGGTCTATCTTACTGCTTGGTGGAGGTTATGGAGGGCTTTTATAGGGGAAAGAGCAGGATCCCAGAGGTGTTGTTACTTAAATAAATAACATGCAAATTAGCACCTGCTATTTTCAGCCTACAGGTCAAGGCACTTTGGGTAATTGGCAGCAGCACTGAAGAGAAATGCTGTCTGGGAGCTTTTTGTGAAAATACGAAAACACAGCCTCCCCTGTCAGTGGGCTCAGCTCCTGCGCTTGAAGGGCTCTGACCTTGCCCGTCATGGGGGCTGTGGCAGAGTGGATATGGCTGGCACTGTTGCCTTGACTACAGTGCGGGGTGGGGGCGATGGGCAATGCAGGGGTGACTCTGAGCATGATTGTAGACTGGGGCACAGGGTATAGGGGACAGCTGAGGGACACATGGTAGAGGGGGATGACACCTGCCAAAAGGGAGCTGGGAGTCAGGCACTTGTCCAGAAAGAAAACCCAGCCAAAGAGGGAGAGAGGAAAAAGGCCTGTCTATCTCACATAGGCCTCCTCTGTGCTCCTCTGGGGCTTGCCTTTAAAGAGCCCTTGGGAGCCATGATCTCATTTGTCTCCCATGCCAGCACTCTCACAGCAGCTCTTTACAAGGGGGAAACTGAGGCATAGAGAGGCCAGGAAATGTCCAAAGCAGAGGGCGGAACACAGACTAATATGTATGAGGTCCCTCAGCCAGATTCCTGGGGGCAGGTAATTCCCTCTCCCTTCTCACACCTTCCCCACCACAAAGGATCTCTGGAGTCGCTTTGGCTGATGCCCAAGGTCCTTTTGGCTGACATTCCATTTCCAACAGAGACATCTAAAGATAGTTATGGGAGGCTCTCCTTGTCTTCCTGACAATAATCTCAGAAGTTGATGTGGTTGGGCCAAGTGAGGTGGCTCACACCTGTAAACCCAGCACTTTGGGAGGCCGAAGTGGGTGGATCACCTGAGGTCGGGAGTTCATGACCAGCCTGACAAACGTGGAGAAACCCTGTCTCTATTAAAAATACAAAATTAGCAGGTCATTGTGGCACATGCCTGTAATTCCAGCTTCTTGGGAGGCTGAGGCAGGAGAATCACTTGAACCTGGAAGGCAGAGTTTGCGGTGAGACAAGATCACACCACTGCCCTCCAGCCTGGGCAACAAGAGTGAAATTCCATCTCAGAAAAAAAAAAAAAAAGTTAACGTGGTTGGTTAGAACAGGGCAGAAAAAAAGGGCAAGACTTGCGAGGCAGTCTGGTGTTCTCTCAATTCCAGTGTCACTTGCCTGGGGGTTTCTGGGCCCCTGTGTCACCTGTCTGGGGCCTGACCACATACCTGATTTCCTGGTAAGCCCTAGAAATGAGACCCATGAGAAGATTAGGGTCCCAAGGTAGGTATCCACCACTCTGTCCGTTGACCTGCCCTCACGTCTTCTCTTTCCCATCAACCATGAGGCTATTTTCATTTCCAGCTTCAGGAAAAGTTGGAAAGGCTCCTGTCCCTGCAGAAGTGTTGGCTAGTCAGAGAACGTCCCTCTGTCCTCTGTGTGTGGTAGCTGCGCCTGAGGCTCCCCTGCATCCTAGCCAGGCCTAGCTGATAGCATAGTGGCAGAGGTAGGACAATGGGCATTTTACAGCAGAGTGATTAAAAAGAGAAAGAATTAAACCAGAAGAGAGGGGCAGGGAAATGAAAGAGAAAGGAATTGGGATAGAGACTTCAGTGAATTAACTCTTTCCATACTGTGGCAGGATCAGTGGGGAATTACCTGGCCACATCCTTAATCCCAGCTTTCAAAAACCAATCCCAGATCCCCCAATGACACTACTGAATCCTGACAGAATCATCTGTTGTGACCTTGACAGATGTCTAGGAAAATAATTTCCGTTCTGTGTGGCAGGAGTTTTCAAAGCGTCTTCACACCTATGAGTTTATTCTATTTTCTTTTCTTTCTTTTTTTTGAGATGGAGTCTCGCTCTGTTGCGGGGCTGGAGTGCAGTGGTGCAATCTCGGCTTACTGCAACCTCTGCCTCCCAGATTCAAGCGATTCTCCTGCCTCAGCCTCCCGAGTAGCTGGGACTACAGGTGCAAGCCACCAGGCCCAGCTAATTTTTGCATTTTTAGTAGAGAGAGGGTTTTGCCATGTTGGCCAGAATGGGCTTGATCTCTTGACCTTGTGATCCGCCTGCTTAGGCCTCCCAAAGTGCTGGGATCACAGGCATGAGCCACCATGCCCCACCAAATTGATTCTATTTCAAACAACCTAGTGATCTAAAGTGAGGCAGGTATTATTATACTTACATTAACGGCCAGAAAGATTAATAAAAGAGTGGTCTAGTTTAGCCACAGGTTTGGAAGCCACAGTGACATTGGGTCCAGGTCAAGGCAATGGATTTCTTCACCATTAGCAATGCCTGTGTCTTCCAGAGTTCCTAATGCATGAGTGTGGGGAGCTTCTCTCTTTTCCTGGACCAGCATAACTGCTGTCTTTCCTCCTCAATTTCCAGGCCCTTCCTGGAGGAAATGCCAGGTACCCTGGATCAGACCCAGTTCATGTGGTCAGAAAATCCAGAACGTTCGAGACAAAAAGGACTTTAGAAAGCATCTAGTGCAAACCCCTCATTTTCACAGAGGAGAAAATTAAGCCCAGACAGGGCAAGTGAGTAGCTCAAGACCTTTCCACACAACGCAGGTGTCTCGATTCCTGGAGCAGGGTTCTTTTCACCAGTCACTGGCACCGCTTCTTGCCAACTCTCTCCCAGGTTTTGAAGGTAGGTAGGAGAGTTTGAACTGGGGACACTGGGAGTCAGCTGCTGCACAGTGGAGCGTTCCAGAGCCCAGCCCTAATCCCAGCTGCGCTACTGTTCAACAAGTATTTACATAACCTTCGAGGAGACCTGCCTTTCTCACCACCCCACAGTTGGGAGGGGCAGCAGAGAGGGGAGCCCTCACATCGTGTATAGTGAGCTGCCATCTCAGCAGTCCTAGCTGGATGTCTTGCTTCCAGTATCCCAACACATCAGCGGCTCTGTATGCTTCTGAGAACATGGGACAGAGGACCACAGGAAGGGGTCAGAGAGAGGGGCTGCCTGTCCAGTAAGGGCCTGACAGACCCTCACGTGGGGTCACTGGGCAGATACCAGGGTGTGTGTGAGTGTGTGTGTTGTGTGTGCATGCATGTGTGTGTACAAACCCTCTACCTCAGGAGGCCAGGAGCATTCATTTCAGATCAGCTTAAGTATTTATGCCACTGCACTCCAGTGGTTCTCCACTGCTAATTTGGATCCCAAATCTTTGGTAAACAGAAATGAAACCTCATATAATGTATTGAGAGCACTGTAAATGATCTTCTTCTTCTTTTTTTTTTTTTAAGACAGGGTCTTGCTCTGTCACCCAGGCTACAGTGCAGCGGCATGAACACGGCTCACTGCAGCCTCAACCTCCTGGGTTCAAGCGATCCTCCCTGCTTAGCCTCCCAAGTTGCTGGGACCACAGGTGCAAGCCATCACTACCAACTAATTTTAATTTTTTTTAATACAGAATTTCTGTATCATTTTATAGAAAAATTTTATAAATTTTAAAATTTTTATAAAAAATTTTTTAAATGAGTTTAAAAGCTGTGTTGTCCAGGCTGGTCTTGAACTCCTGGGCTCAAGCAGTCCTCCCACCTCAGCCTCCCAAAGTGCAAGGACAACAGGTGTGAGCCATCACACCTGGCTAATGTTATCTTCTTTAATCCTCAAAACCTTCTCCCCACCTCCACTTCTATCCCTGGTGTGAGCCACCATCTGCTCTCACCTAGATAACTGCAGCAGTCTCTCTTCCATGATTCCTGGTTCCTCTGTGGTCTGCTGTCCTCACAGTAGCCAGACAGCTCCTTTGCAAAACATATTGGATCACATCGTCCCTCTCCCTGAAGTCCTCCAGTGGCTTCCTCTCTCGGAAAAAAAGCCAAAGTCCTCAGCATGGCACGGCCGGCCCCTGGCGACCTGTGACCTCATTTCTGGCCACTCGCCCCCTTGCTGACTCTGCTTCAGCCTCACCGACCTCATTGCAGTTCCTTGAACTCACGCTGATTCCCGGCTCTGGGCCTCTGCACATACTCTTCTGTCTGCCTGGACAGCTCTCTCCCCAGTTGTCTGCATAGCTTACCAAAGAAGCCTTCCCTGACCACCTGCCCTCAAATACCTGCTACCCCAGCACTCTCTGCCCTTTACCCTGCTTTATTTTTCCTTATTTCACAAAGCACCACCCAACCTACTGCATGTTTATATGTTGGCTTGTTTGCCATTTCTTTTTCTTTTTTTTTTATTTAATAATTTTTTTTTTAAGACGGGGTTTCACCATGTTGGCCAGGCTGGTCTTGAACGCCTGACTTCAGGTGATCTGCCTGCCTCGGCCTCCCAAAGTGTTGAGATTACAGGCGTGAGCCACCACGCTCGGCCTAAAATTTTTTTAAAATACGGAAGGTTTCACAAATTTGGGTGTCATCCTTGCACAGGGGACATGCTAATCTTCTCTGTATCGTTCCAGTTTTAGTATGCGTTCTGCCAAAGCAAGCGTGGCCATTTTTTATTGTTGTTGTTCTTTTGTTTTTTGAGATAGGGTCTCGCTCTGTCACCCAGGCTGGAGTACAATGGCGTGATCTCGGCTCACTGCAACCTCCGCCTCCTGGGTTCAAGCGATTCTGATGCCTCAGCCTCCCGAATAGCTGGGATTACAGGCGCACACCACCATACCCAACTAATTTTTGTATTTTTAGTAGAGACAGGGTTTTGCCATGTTGGCCAGGTTGGTCTTGAACTCCTGACCTCAAGTGATCCATCTGCTTTGGCCTCCCAAAGTGCTGGGATTACAGGTGTGAGTTACCATGTCTGGCCATTTCTTTTCATATACGCATTTAAAAGCAATGCGTCTGGTATACATTAGGTGGTCTACAAGTATTTATCAAATGTATGAGTAAATATCACGAGGTGGGCATTCCTTTCAGATGATGACACTGAAGCACAAAGAGGCTAAGTAATGCGCATAGACAGTGAGTGGCAAACTGAAAATTATAGCCAGGCCAGGTGGGCTCCAGAATGTTCCATCTGTTTTGCTGCTCTGATTCCCAAGAGCAGGAAACTAACCACCAGGACCTGTGGAGTTATAAGAGACTGCATAAACCAGGCATGGTGGCTCAGGTCTGTAATCCTAGTACTTCGGGAGGCCAAAGTGGGTGGATAGCTTGAGCCCAGGAGTTTGAAACCAGCCTGGGCAGCATAGTAAAACCCTGCCTCTACCAAAAAAGGAAAAAAGAAAAAAAATCCCCCCAATTAGTGTGTATTTTAAAATTTAAGAATTAGCCTGTATTAAATTTAAAACTTAGCATGGATTAAAAATAGCATGGTGGCGCTTGCCTGTAGCCCCAGCTACTTGGGACGCTGGGTTGGGAGGACTGCTTGGCCCAAGAAGTCAAGGCTGCAGTAAATCATGATTGGGCCACTGCACTCCAGCCTAGGTGACAGAGTGAGAAAAAATAAATAGAGAGAGATTGTATAGTTGTTGCCTTCCTGACTTCAGGGATATCTGATCAGAGCTGGGAAGGGTGGGATCTCTTAGTTGGAACCTCACACAGGGAGCTCCTTTCCCTGGCTAAATCCAGAGAACAGTGAACAGCAGAGGAAAGTTCACTCCAGCATGGGCACAGGGCAGCTGGCCATCCCCCAGGCTCCCAGCATGGGCACAGGGCAGCTGGCTATCCCCCAGGGCCCCTCTGTGGAGGCTCGTTGTGGCTTGGAAAGGGGCAGTGACAGCCAGATGATAAGCTCTGTCCCTGATCTTCTAATAACACTCAGCAGAATGTCAGCAGTCCTGGGAACCTCAGCTGCTAGAAGTCCCACCACCTGAAATTGTCCATATGGCCATGCATGTGTAGATAGTGTCATTCCTGAGCTGCCCTTTGTCATCAAACCCACAGGGGCCAAGACAGAAGCCAGACATCAAAGTAGAGGAAGAATGAGAGATTGAGGCTGGGGAGAGGAGCTGGAAGAGGGTGAGCAGTCAGTCAAAGAGGTCAGGAGCTAGGTCAGAGATTGTTCCTGTCTCCCAAGCTGGAGATGCCCTACAAGAAAGAGACAAGACAAACCACAGATCCCTTTAGTAGGAGCTGGCTAAAGGAGAAGGGGGTAGGCTGGTCAGAATATGCTCACCCTGCTCGGGTCACCCCCCAGGCTGAGCACAAGGTCACTTGCCTTTCTCTGGAAGGATCCCTCCACCTCTCAGACACTCTCTGCGCCTGTCTGGTCCGGTTGCTGCACACCCCATGCACATCGACCGGCCTGTCTTCAAACAGTCGAGCTGGTGCACACATAGCCTCTTTGTATCCTGCCACCTCTCACACACGTTTGGATGGGTCTCACACAGTATCTGTCTCTCATTTCCACTGCTTGGCATGCACATCACGAACGTGCTGACTCTGTTTATCTACTGCACATGCCCCCGTGTCAGCCTCTCCTACCCTCTCGCTCCGTGATCCTGCCCTGCATATTCAGTGAGTGCTGATCTGCCTCCAGTGGAGCTACGTGCTTTTGGTCTCTCAAGGCCTGACTCTCTCCTCTGGCCCGCTTTTCAAATCTATACTCTTATGCCTCTGCTTGTGCTTGTTCCATTGTCACTCCGATATATCGATGACAATCATTCATTCCTGCAGCATCTTTGGGCCCCCAACTCTGCACACCTCAGTGGGAAAGTCCCTCGGCCCAGCCTGCTGGCCTTTCTTCAGCTGCAGTGAATGGCCTTTTACTGCCTGGCCAGAGATATCTGATAGCCCAGAGGCCAGAGCTGGCCCCTCATGAACATCCTGGGACAGCTCAGCCTTTGAGTTGGAGTCAAACAACGACTTGCATTCACAGAGGCTTGGGTTTCTCCTTCTGCCCTTGGCCCGGAGTTCCTGACTGTGGCTACTCTGTGGCTCCCCAAAGCAAGACTCTATCCTGGAAGATAGATGGGTCATGTAAGGGCATCCCAGGAGGGGGTCTCTAACAGTGATTCACTGGTCAGTCGACAGCACGGCCTGAGAACCTACGCTGCTAGGTGTTGAGGGGAAATGGAGAGACAGAGAAGACAGAGTCTGTTTTGGGGAAGCTCCTGCTCCAGCGGAAGGCTTGTGATCCCTGCCCCTGACATGCTCACAGGTTTCAGGGACACAAGGGCTGCACACACAGGGAAAGGCCTCAAGGAGCACAAAGCGAGGCAGTAGGTGTGCTGGAATGTGCACAGAATGTCGGGGGCAGAGGCCTGAGTTCTGTTCTGGTGGGGCCACTTTGAGTTATGTGATCCTACCAAGCCAGTTAAGCTGAGTTCCAACGTCTTCATTTGTAAATTGGGGGGAAGAATATCTAACTCACAGTGTTGTTAACATTAAATAAGATAATGCCATATTAGTGTGTGCAAACCATACATGCCATGCAACTGTGAGAGAATCATAAAAGTGCAAATTACTGCAGTACAAATTATGCACACAAGTTCCAGGACAACGCTGAGTCCAATGGGATGAATCAGGAAAGACTCCCTGGAGGGAGGGCATTTGGCAAAGACAGGTGGGCAACTGGACATCACCATCCAGACAGAACAGTTCCATTCCATAGATGGCTTTTATAGCTTTGGTTTTCTAGGAGCAAACAAGAGAAGGGAGGGAGGTAACATTTACTGACACCCGCTGCATGCCAAGTGTTATTTTTTAAGACGGAGTATGATCTCAGCTCACTGCAACCTCCACCTCCCAGGTTCAAGCAATTCTTATGCCTTGGCCCAAGTAACTGGGACTATAGGAGCCCACCACCATGCCCAGCTAATTGTATTTTTAGTAGAGATTGGGTTTCATCATGTTGGCCAGGCTGGTCTCGAACTCCTGACCTCAAGTGATCCGCCTTGGCCTCCCAAAGTGCTGGGATTACAGGCACGAGCCACCGTGCCTGGCCACCATGTGTATTACATACAGTATATTTCACTACATGCTAACAACAATCCTATTGCCATATCAGTATTCTCCCTGAAAACAGATAAACAGCTTTCCCAAAGCTTCAGATCTGGAATCTGAACACCAGGCCTGTCGTACTTCCAAACTTGTACTCTTTCTGTAATATCAGACTACATGGACTTTCCAGGCACCACACAAGCTCAGCCAGCTTGTCACAGAACATAAGAAGAAGGTTGACAATTAAAGAGGGGAGACAGTGGGCAGGTAGACAAGTGGGCAGAGCTGGTGGGGGAAAAGCCAGGCTCATCTCAACAGCTTCCTCGACCCTTACTCATCCCGATTGTCAACCAGATTCCATGTCATCACAGTAGGTGAAAACTCCAGCAGCTCAATTGTAGGTTACTAGGACACACCAGAGGAAGGACCACGCCTTAACTGGCATTAGTTGCCATGGCAACTAGAATACATCCAGCAGTCCCTCTGGAATACCTGGCTTGTTCCAACGTTTCACCAACCCCGTTGGGTTTGAACAGACACTCTCATCCAGATTAATCCTGCACAGACTGAGGAGTGCTGCCCACTATTTTATTTTAAGAATTAAGGAGGCTGGGCACAGTGGCTCACACCTGTAATCTTAGCACTTTGGGAGGTCTGGCGGGATTGCTTGAGCCCAGGAGTTTGAGACCAGCCTGGGCAACACAGTGAGATCCTGTCTCTACAGAAAAATTTAAATATTAGCCATGTGTGGTGACGTGTGCCTGTAGGCCCAGCTACTCAGGAGGCTGAGGTGGGAGGATCATGTGAGCCTAGGAGGTAGAGGCTGCCAAGAGCTGGGATGACGCCACTGAACTCTAGCCTGGGCAACACAGTGAGAGCCTGCGTCAAAAAAAAAAAGGAAAAAATAAGGAATATTTTGAGAGCCAGGGGTTCACATCTGACCCAGGAATCCAACTCCATACCTTCCTCTCATCTTTCCTTCCCATCTTCCCTCTTTATAACTGGTGGTGTTGGTGTGCCACCTACACCCCTCCATAGTCACTGTTCCTGTAGGTGCTGTCTGAGCATGACTGCGGGTGCTTGTGACTCAGACTCGGGGATTCCTCTCAGCCTATGTGCACAGGCTTGAAACGCAGAGCTGAAGCCCTCTAGGAGCTGCCCTTAGCCAATAATGAATGGGAGCTGACATATAAATACCCAAACTTCCTTGCCCTTCTGGTGGGTAACACTGAGGTGTATTCCATGTCACCTCCTAGAAATCTGTAAGCCCCAATTGCCCACAGCAGTAACCTGCACATGAACATAGCTTGTAGTGGCTTCCTTCTCTTCCCTGACTCACTTTCCCACTCGGATCAGCACTTCCTGGGCACCTGCCAAATAAACCACATGCACCCAAATCCTTGTCTCAAGGTCAGCTTCTGGGGGTACCCGGCCCAAGACATCCTTCATATGCAAGAAACCCATGTTTCAGTGAGGGACAGACAGCCCAACTAGCCAAGACAATGTGGGAAAGAGGTTATGGCCACTTGTGTGATTCTGTGTGCAGCGAGCTTAGCTATTTGCACAACCACCGCATGCTATACTCAGCCCAGACCTCAAACCAC